TTTTTAAATTATATCTGCATTTGCCAAAACCTATGGACTTTCAAACATAAAAATGCCATTTATTAATATGTGTTCGTGTCAACATGACATATTTTCCTATTCTATTTAGCCTGGAAACGCTTCCAACAGGCTTGCGTGTCGCGTGAGAAATAGGCGTCGGTTTTTTTTCTAGCATGCACGCGTTTTCGGCGCGGCTCGAGACGCGCGTCACGCAGGCAGTGTGCAAGTTCTAACCTGTTAACATGGGAGCCGAAATAAAAACGGACACACCACGCAGCTGAGACGCGCACGCCACGCAGCCAGTGCGCTTCAGATGCCTTTTGAAAAGACTACAATTATTCAACCCGCCAAAGTGGCTAGTTGAAGTGACTGTGTTACCCGCCACGAGCAAAATCCACCCGCATTTGGCGGGTTGGCGGGTGTTAATGTCAAGCCCTGCTCACACTCACACTCCAGATCTGATGAAGGACCTGCGTCTGGACACACACACACTCACACTCCAGATCTGATGAAGGACCTGCGTCCGGACTCACACTCACACTCACACTCCAGATCTGATGAAGGACCTGCGTCCGGACTCACACTCACACTCACACTCCAGATCTGATGAAGGACCTGCGTCTGGACACACACACACTCACACTCCAGATCTGATGAAGGACCTGCGTCCGGACTCACACTCACACTCACACTCCAGATCTGATGAAGGACCTGCGTCCGGACTCACACTCACACTCACTCCAGATCTGATGAAGGACCTGCGTCCGGACTCACACTCACACTCACACTCCAGATCTGATGAAGGACCTGCGTCCGGACCCACACACACTCACACTCCAGATCTGATGAAGGACCTGCGTCCGGACTCACACTCACACTCACACTCCAGATCTGATGAAGGACCTGCGTCCGGACTCACACTCACACTCACACTCCAGATCTGATGAAGGACCTGCGTCTGGACACACTCACACTCACACTAGATCTGATGAAGGACCTGCGTCTGGACACTCACTCACACTCACACTCCAGATCTGATGAAGGACCTGCGTCTGGACACACTCACACTCACACTCCAGATCTGATGAAGGACCTGCGTCTGGACACACTCACACTCACACTCCAGATCTGATGAAGGACCTGCGTCTGGACACACTCACACTCACACTCCAGATCTGATGAAGGACCTGTGTCTGGACGCGACGACAACGCAGTCCTGAAGTGTCACTAGTCTCTCCCTGTAAAGGCCTCCTTCCCTTTACCTCTGTACAGATCGTTGTCTGGATAATTCCGGTTAGCGTGGCAACGCCGAAGTGATACAATTCTGTATTATAAATTAAGGCCAGACAAGTAGTTTGTTGAGGGTTGGTTTTTTAGGGAAGGACTACATGCCTGTGCACATACATTCAAACGCGCATACCTATAGAATGAACTCTTAATACGCATGTGCACGCCGTCAGCGTTCTCACATGTTCACGTTTTTAAAGTTTGTGTAGAGAGAACTTAAGAGGTTTCTGTTAAAACGGTGTCGTGTTAGCGGCCCCTAAGTTAATAACTAATGATCGTTGCGGCGGAAGTAAATCAATCAAAACTAACTTTAGCTGGAAAATAACTTTATTCTAGAGCTGCCATAAAGCCAAAACAATCTCTGTGACTTGAATTTCCTATTATCACTGTAAAGCAGCTTTGGAACAATCTACATTGTTAAAAGCACTATATAAATGAAGATGACTTGACTATTTACTCACCATTCCCACTGCATCCTGGTCAAAAGGGTTCCACTCCACATTGTCGGGATAGTGCGCAAGAACTTTAGATTTAAAAGTTCTCCGCAGTGGACTCTGCTCAAAATTTTCACCTGAGATTCGGACAGAAAGAGAAAAGGAAAAAGAAAAAGACAAAGACAAAGAAAGATAAGCTCTTTTTCAAAAAACTATCTTCAAACCTTCACGGCAATTCAAGCAAACCAAACCACTGATATTCTTATTTCTTCTGGAGGAAGACACTGGTCTAGAACGTTGCGAAAAACAGACATAAAAACAGAAAATCAAACTGAGTCAAAGCCAAAAAAAAGTGCCAGAACAGTTGAAGCAGAAAAGTGTCGGAACACGCATTGGAAAAACGTGCCATGAAAATCATTCCAAGTGAAGGAGTTACAGCGAAACCTTGGCCAAAGTTCACCAAAGCAAAACGTTTGGAGTGCTAATAAGTTTCTGCTGCTGAGAGAGGAATAGGAAATGGAGTTGAAGGGGAAAAGGGCAGGAAAACAGGTGATCCCAAACTACCCCGACCACGAGCCATCTCACACACGAACAAACAGCGGTGCTGTGAAAGAAGTGCGTGGAAAGGTTAAAGGTTAGCGGGCACAGGCCGAGCTGTGGTTGATTGTGATACAAACAGGAGCATTGGAGGTTGGGATGAGGGTTACCTTCGTCTGCACTCGCCAACTTTCCTCTGGCGCCATCACTGAATCTAGTAGACTGTATATACTGGCATAAAGCTACACAACAGATAAAACAGTGTAATTAATCACTTAGTATTACTCACTCGTTTCTCATAGAGAACACCATTCATTATGGAGCGCTAGGACTAGGAGTGCCGCTTAAAAAATTAAATTAGGAAATCAATGTATTAATTTCAAAATAAAGTTTAAGCCATATTTATATCTTATTTAAATGTTGTTAAATCAATAACTTTTAATTTAATAAATAAATATACATTTAAAACCATTTTGATTTCATGTTTAAAATATTTGTAAAATGTCAAATTAAATTCACACCAAATAAGAAAAGTTTTAAAGGGGTGATGAACTGAGAAATCTAAGAGGTCATCATATTATAAGAATATCCTGTAAGTGTCAGAACTGAAAACGTCCTTGTTAGTCCAATAAAAGCTTTTATTGACACCAGGCTCAGCAAACGACTCGTTTTTCAAAGTGGGGAACTATGACGACAAAGAGGATAAAACACCACCCCCGCAGAAGATGATCAACGCCTACTTCAACACGGACGGTTTAGCCCCGCCCACCGATTCGCGCATTACACGAAACTCATTATAATATGCAAAACTGTTATCCACTCACAGCAGTGGGCGTTTACTTCCGAGTCTTCAATGCGAGACGCCCATAAAAACCGTGCGTTTTTGAGCTAGGCTCAAAACTAGGGTAGAAAATAGCCTATTACTTATTCATTTTGATGTTTTTGAATGTAAAAACCAAGCGAACGTCATAAGTTGACCTCAGACAACAATATAAAAAAAATTAAAAAGCCAGTTCATGACCCCTTTAAATTTTAAATGTTTTCAGACAACATGCCAAGATGTAATTTGTCTCACTTAATGTCTTGAAACATCCGTTGTGTTTCGCCCATTGTTGTGGAGATGTTAACTAGTTTTATTATTAAGGTTTTAACTGTCACTACAAGAAATACAGTACCTGTCAAAAGTTTGGAAACAACAAAAAAAATTTTTTTTATGTTTTTGAAAGAAGTCCCTTATGCTCACCAAGGCTGCATATTTGATCAAAGATGCAATAAAAACAGTAATATTGTGAAAAATGATTACAAATTAAGATAACTGTTTTCTATTTTAATATATTTAAAAATGTAATTTATTCCTGTGATCAAAGCTGTATTTTCAGTATCATTACTCCAGTCTTAAGTGTCACATGATCCTTCAGAAATCAATATTATCCTATATCATATATCAATATATATGGTGATTTGAGCTCAAGACTTTCTTACTATTATCATCAATTTTCAAAACAGTTGTGCTGCTTAACATTTTTGTGGAAACTGTGACACTTTTTTCAGAATTCTTTGATGAATATTAAGTTCAATGAACCGGATTTGATTTGCATTTATTAACTGTATTCATTAAAGCATTTAAAACCTTTAGCGTTATAAATCTCTTCACTGTCACTTTTGATCAATTTAATGCATCCTTGATGAATAGAAGTATTAATTTCTGTCTTTTTTTTTAAATCGGTAACACTTTACAATAAGGTTTGATTTGTTAACATTAGTTAATGTATTAAACATGACATGAACTAAACAATGAACAACATTTGTTACTGTATTTGTTAATCTTTAACGTTATTTAATAAAAAAATACAGCTGTTCGTTGTTTGCTCATGTTATTTCACAGTGCATTAACTAATGTTAACAAATACAACTTTTGATTTTAATAATGTATTAATAAATGTTGAAATTAACATTAACAAAGATTAATAAATGCTGTAGAAGTGTAGTTCATGTTCAATAATGAAACCTTATTGTAAAGTGTTACCTTTAAAACTTAGCACAAATTTGTTAATGGTATTGTTTTCACAAAAAAATGTTAAGCAGAAAAAACATTGATAATAATAATAATAATAAAAAATTAAGTTTCTTGAGCAGCAAATCATCATATAGAAGGATCAAGTGACACTGATGACTGGAGTAATGATCACCGGAATAAATTACATATTATAAAATATATTACAACAGAAAAACTTTTTTTTTTAATTGTAATAATAATAATAATAATTTCACAATATTACTGTTTTTACTGTATTTTTAATTGAATATATGTAGCCCTAGTGTGCATAAAACTTCTTTCAAAAACATAAAAAAATTAATGTTTCCAAACGTTTAACATGTGCTAGCTAAAGGGGGAAAAAAAACTTTTTCAAAGTGAAATAACAGATTCCTGCAATTTCATTATGACCTTTAACCCTCTGGGGACCAGAAACGCGCCGGCGCGTTTTGCTCGTTTTTTTTCACATAGCAGAAAAATAGACTTAAAGTACTACCATCATTTCTGTTCATATAGAGTTAAGAAATATGAGAAAATAATCTGTTAAATGTCTACTTTTTTATGTGCCCACATACAATCGAAATAAAATATTGTGCTTTTGTAAAATAAAGAAAATAAACAGGGTGTGCGTTCTGCCTCTCGGTCACCGTGAACTTTTTTTCTGGAGCACGTCTCTAATCTTCAACACAACTCAGCTAATACTATTCACCCAGCCATAAGCAATATATCTTTTAAATCATTTGAGTTTGTACTTTTAAATGATCCGATTCAAAACTAAAATTATTATTCTCCGTTTATGTCATCTATATAAAAAGAGAGACGTGTCAGCCCATCTCATTATCGTTCTCTCAGCTGATTATCTGTGGTAATGTGACACGCCCACGGAGAGCACGCGCTATTCAAACGCAAATATGTGAAGCAACACATTGAGACGCGTTAACGCCCATAAACTCTGAAAACACACATTATTTTTTAGTCAGATTAATCTACTGTCGTCTTGCGCGGCTATATGTGGAACAATCCTGGGACATTTACCACTGGGTTATTTTCACTTCGAGGATGAACAGATTCAGCTGAGAAGTAAGTGTTTTTTGCAAGTGCTTTGTTCTAATCGCGATATAGAATAACGTAGTGTCTGTAAACGGAAAAATAGCATACTGTTAAATGTGAATCATGTTTGTGTCACACAGTTTGTGTGTGTGTGTGTGAATGAATGAATGAACGCACAGATACGCACTGTTACAGACTAAATAACAGACAACATTTCGTTGACTCGTTTTGGATAAAGTTTTTACTCTAAAATAGACATCAAATAAGCTTTTTTAGGAGTTTCTGCTCATATGTTAAATATATAGTATGTTTTGTCAATAAACTAATCAACTAAGATGTTATAGTGTTTGTTCAAGCTATATCAAAATAATGAATCCTCAACTTTGAAATATGTATGATCAAACTAAGACATTTATGGAGAAAGACAATTTTCTTTTCAAGATGTTTCCAACTCTAACTTTGAACTGAAATAAAACCATGTCTATATGGTGAAGGGTGTGTGATAGAAGTGTCCAGACGTATGCACCCTGTATTTTCCTTATAATATCCAAACAATCTAAAAGCCATTCTTTTTTAAATCTCCTCATTCTTTGTGCAAGGCTCCTGTAATGATATGGCCTGATAGCACCTAATAGGGCCATTATGGGAGGGTCTTTGTCTTTCTCAGGTGTGGAATGCCATACATATTAATGAGAGATCAAGCCTCCTGCATAAAGCTTTCTCAAACAAAACACGTCATTAAAAATGTAAAAGACTTTATTGACTTATCTGAATGAGTAGTCAGGATGATTCTCACATAGTTTTGGAGCAAATATTCTAGGCTATGTGATACAATTTTCAAAAGTCTTGTGAAGAAATAATCAATATGTGTTTTGTGGTCTTATTTCAGCAACTTTCATTTTTATTTTTTTCAATAACCACGCATAAACATTATTCTATTAAAAATACAAACATGTACATACATGTTGCTCAGATCTCATGGTAGCCAAGTTTGTGCTATATAGAGTGAATTTACACCTTTGCCATTAACATGTTTATAAATAACTGAAAAAAGCACAAATGTCAGTGCATGTCAAAACATCCCAAGGGCCCCAAAAACACTCTGGTCCCCAGAGGGTTAAGAAAAAAATTATTGATATCATCAGTTGAGATGTGTTGCGTAATATGTAAAAGTAAAAAATGGTCTAACTTAAAAACGCCTTGAAACCTTGTTGCGTTCTGTCCACTGTTGTGGAGATTCACCGTGTGTTTGAGCTTCTGCTCGCTGTCACACACATTTCACACTGGCATGTTGAAACAACGGAGACTGAAGGCAGTGTGTGTGCGCAAGCATGAATGTCACACAGTAAAATCTCTTCAGCCTCCATATCAGGGACAATTTAAGATCTGTTAACCTGCCTTAGACAATAAATACAGCCTTGATGCAACAAGAATAGACGTGTCTCTGAAGGATATTTCCCTGAGGAACGTGTTCAGGGCAAGAACGTGTTTATTTGTCACCGATCTTCAGAGAGAGTGTGTGTTTGAGGAGTTCATAGATGTGTGGCATTTAAAGGATGAGATGCAAATCAGATCCGGTAGTTGCACTGGTCTGAGAATGGGATCACAACAGAAATAAGGTCAGGGATGTGAGGAATTCCTAGTGTTTTCTGGGATGTTCAAACTAAAACGAACCACAATATGACCATATGTAAACACACTACATGTAGTGTGCTGTTAAATTATGGATTTTATTCTATTCTTTATTAATGATTCTGATCTGGCATCTTCCATGAGAATCGTGTTTCCAAGCAAGGTCTTTTTCTCTTTGCACTTGACATCATTATAATATCTGTAAAATATTAAATATGAGATTCTGTTGAGAACTGGAATAAAACTAGTAAGAGATATTACATTATGTGTACACTAGAAACCCTTAGGGGAATGTTATAAAACACATGTGAAGCAAACACCAAGGCTGATGTAAAAATCTTTATGTGTGGCTGGTCAAATTATTAAATTATTAAAATATTATTTCGTTTTCAACTCTCACTACAAGAAATAGCTAAAGGAAATAAAGGAATTTCTCTTTAAAAAACTGAAATAACAGATTCTTGCACTTTTTTTTATTTATTAAGAAGAAATTATTGTTATTATGAGGATGTTTTTAAGTATCTG